TACACATTGAAATGTTCTAAAGCTAACACTAGAGCCAATGTTTCTTTTTCTACCGTAGAATAATTCGTTTGATGACAATTAAACTTTTTATAAAATAACAACAGGGTGTTCAATACCTTTGTCGTCTGATTATAATAGAATAGCACCAACGCCACAATCATTGGCTTCAACAGCTAATGCGAAAAGCTTATCAAAGTCAAGTGCCGTCAATACAGGGTAAGTGCATAATAAAGATTTGACCTTTTCAAAAGCAGATTGACATGTTTCAGATCATTTGAATTTTTTATTTTTCTTCAAAAGGTTTGGTAATAGTACAGTGATGTCAGCAAAATTTTTACAAAACTTCCTGTAATAACCGACCATTCCCCAAAATCTCATCAAACTTTTCTTGTTGGTAGGAGTTGGATAATTCACAATACAATCAACTTTGGCTTGAATTGGAGAAACTTGACCACAGCCTACTACATGACCTAAGTAAACGACACAGTAAAAGTCACTTTTTGATAAGATGTACAGTGAGATTGGCTTTCTTAAGCCTTTCAAAAACCATCATATAATACATATAAATGTTCTACCCATGTGTCACTGGAAATCACAATATTATCAACATAAATTTCAACATCTGACAGATTGTTGAGGCATTGATTCATCATTCGCTGAAAAGTTGCTTGATAATTTTTCATCCGAAAAGGCATTACATTGTACTGGCATAACCCATCAGGAGTAACAAAAGCAGATATTTCTTTTGCTCTGTCAGTTAGAGGAACAGCCCAGTATCCCTTTAGTAGGTCACACTTTGTGATATATCTGGACTTTCCAATTTTAATAATGCAATCTTCCATTCTTGGGATGGGATAGGAATCTGTCTTTGTCAAAGCATTTACTCTGCAAAAGTCTGTATAGAATCTAACCAAACCAAGGTAAAGACCAATCACTTTGACTGAGCTCTATAATGCCGTTTTCCAGCATGTAAGATATTTCTTTACGCATTTTATCGGCCTTGATTGGATTCACACGATAGGGATGTTGTTTTACAGGAGAAGCATCACCTATATCTACATCATGCACAGCAATGTTGGTTTGATTAGGAACGTCTGGAAATATACATTCGTATTTATTCAATAAACTATCAAGTTGATTTTTCTCTTCAGGAGGCAAGTGATCGAGTTTTGAATTAAGATTGACCAGAATGTCAGAATTCCTCAGTTTGATGTTGCATTCGTGTCCACTATTTTCGAATGTACGAGTGTCTGAGTCAAAGCAACTGTCATCAGGTGAACACTCAATGGTTAAAATATTTTTGGCTGCATCTCGTATGTGGTAGGGCTTCAATATATTAATATGGCTCAGCTGGGTAGCATTTCGACTATCAGGTGTTTTTACAACATAGTCCATACCATTAACTTTCCGAACAGCCTCATAGGGACCATGATACCTAGCTTTAAGTGAATGTCCCATAGTGGGCAACAATACCAAGACCATGTCATCAGGATGGAACTTGTACTCTTCAGCTTTACAGTAATAAACATTTTTCATTTTAACTTGGGATGACTTCAAATTTTCTCATGCCAATTCACAAGCACGTAAGAGTCTGGACTGAAACTTGGAAACGTAATCCAATAAGTGCATTTCTTTTGGATCATCTTCCAACCATTGTTTCTTCAGCAACAAAGAGCCACGCACTGAATGGCCAAATACCAACTCAAACGGGCTAAACCCTAACGACTCCTGAACTGACTCACGAACAGCAAATAATAATAAATTAACTCCTTCATCCCAATCCTTCTCGTTATCGAAACAGTAAGTTCATATAATATTTTTCACTGTAGAATGGAATCTCTCAAGAGCACCTTGCGATTCTGGATGATACACACTAGATTTGATCTGTTTAGCACCGAGCT